AGCAGCATTCACACGTAACCCTAAATCAACGCCGCAGCACTATAATAGCTCATGAAAGTCAAGCATCAGCTACAACATGACAGACAAACAAAGCTTTCGTCCACAACGCAGGTGCCTGCGCAGAATACTGTAGTCTTTAAGTACAACTGGTGCCTGAGGCTCGGCTCATGCTGCTACTGCTGCTGCTGTGCTGGGTTACGCCTTGCGCCTTGCACTACATCGAGTTGGGACTGTCAAAACGGAGAATAGCGCTGTACTTTTTCGCGTTCAGGCGCATTCATCTGTTTCGGCCTGTATGCAAAGCACCCGTCACCACCAACTAGTAGTTGCAGCAGCGGGTTTTTGGCAATTGCTGGCGGTGCCTGGAATAAAAAGAGTAAAAAAGGAAGAACTTCTGGGCCATTCTATCGCGAAACATCTGTATATCTCGACGTCCACTACGTCGATTCGCAAGCAGGTTGCTGCAGTAGATGCGGAGTGAGCGAGATATCACCTAGATCTGTCCGTCCTGTGAATGACTGCCCCCTTATGTCCACTCTTATTGCTGTTTTGTAGGCATATCAACACAACACGCAAGCACGCACGCCAACAAGCCGCTTCTCTTCCTGCCGTTAGCTACAGCAGCGACGGCGTCTTGCTTCGATGTCCCACACTCCTCCTTCTGTGTGTGATGTGCTGGGTGCTCTGCATGCTATGTCTCTCGTGTATTGCCCAGAACGCAGGTGAAGTGTGCGCCTCTTGCGCCCCTTGTCATTTGTGCCACAGTACCGGGCGGCCAAGTCCCGCCTGTACTTCTAGTACAAAAAATTGCGCAACACGAGCGACGAGCGGGGCGCCGCCACTAAAGCACGGCCTCTACCTACATAATCCGAATCCACTCGCCTGTCCCAGATTCTGTTGAAGTCCCTCCTGATCTCACGGCCACACGATAGGTACTTGGACCAAACCAGACCGTCGGTGTTGGAGAGCCTTTTGGCTGCGGCAAAAGGCAGCGGCATCGCGACCGCGGGGCAGAACACCGCATGCGTAGAAGGTGTGGATAAGATTTGTGTTCATCTCTCGTTGTACAGAAATATTTCCCACGAAACCCTTGGGAGTATGTGTGCCCAAGGATTGTGCCCGACAAGTCTATTACAGCCATGATGTACCAACAGCACGACTACGCACCGCAGCACCAGCGGGAGAGAGCGCCTACACTATTGTACGACAGCAGTATTATTGCAGTTGTACAGCCAGCCTGTGCTTTGTGCGTGTCTATCCCTTACCTGAATCGTTTCCGGTGGTCATGCCCATGAGGTCTTGGGTCAGCCAACTCGGGGGGGTTTGAATGACCACGGTCTTCCACCAACACAGGAAGCTTGGAACGGTGAAGTTCTTGTAGTTGGTCCTGGCGTGTGCATCCCTCTGTTGGGTTGACATGGTCCCGGCCTCCCGCTTGGTGACAAGGCACTGGTAGTAAGCTGCCGCGTTCTGGATGAGCGATAGGTGCTTCGGATCCTGTTTGGTATGACTGAGGTACTCCAGCAGATCATCGGAGTGTTCATTCCTGGGTAGGAGTAGCGCCTCCACGACCATGGCGGTGTTATGGATTCGTGCGTCCCTACAGCAGTAGCGTGCTGTGGTTGACGAATGAGGAGCCACGGCTGTGTGCACGGGACTGTCACTTAGACACCGCCTAACATGCACGTGGCCCCTAAAAAAAATCGCTCGCGCGAAAACAAACTGCATGGAGCGTAAGACGGTCGTTTGGATCTTGATAATTATTTCCGTGAAGGCCACCCCCCCCCGTCCGAGAGGAAAAAAAATCTCCGAAATAATCACGCCGTAATAAGACTCAGCCTAATAAAAGAGATAATAGAGTAATATTTGGTTTTTTAGGATTCCGATAAATTTTCTTTATTTTATCGGTAAGAAGAAGCCACACAAACGGACAAATTAAAGGCACGGGTACAAGGAGCAGGGCCCACAACAGGCAAGCGGGGCACCGGAGGAAGCCCGGGGCAAAGGACTGTCCAACACGGTTTCTGTTGATGAAAAGCTATACACGTCGTAGTTGGGCAGTAGCAAGCAGCGGTCTACCTTATCGGTTGCGGCCTACCTTACCGGTTGAAAACCAATCGACCAGTCAGTGTGGTCCGCACACGACCACCACCTTCGTTTCTGGCTCATCCCTTTTGCCTTGTCTCCCCCGACCAGTTGCTGGCACATTTTTTTCCACCAACAACAACCAAAACTCCCCGCGACGAAGCGACGGGGTCAGCTGTCAGCAGCAACCGCCTTGCACGTCCCTTTCGGTTCGCCTGAAATCTACAGGAGTTATCTGCCTCTGTGTCTGCCTCCATCTCTCTCCCACGCGCGGGCAAACTGTGATCACCTGTTCGCCCAGCAGTGAGAGGGAGGAGAATATGCCGATGCCGATGGTCCGGAAAAGAGCCGGGCTTCAGGTTGACCCCCCTCCATCCAGCACAAGAGGTGAGAACATGCATGAGACGCCGGGTTGGGAAGAATCGTTTGTTGTTGTTGTTGTTGTTGTTTCTCACAATAGCTCTATGGTCCACAACAAATGGGGAGCCCGTAGTCTCTCTCAAACCCCGGCACATACCACGCCGCGGGAAACAAAACAAAAATAGGGTACAAACCACTCGGAATCGTGTGTTCGTGTGTGTCTTGAATGCAAGTGTCTATGCAGTCACGTACTACGTGGTGATCTCTGGAATCCGGCCGCTCCGATCTCTCTAATGCGAGATACTGCAAGGTCTTGAGTGTTACAAAAACGAACGAACCTGTTGCAGCAGCCCCCACAAAGCAAGCAACCTTGCAAGTAAGTCAGTCTCGCCACGCGACGACGGTCTTGGTGGTGCGCATACTCGCTCCCCCTACAACCCGCTGCCCAGACTGCATGTAGAACAGACCACCTACACACGAACGTGCAGAGAATCCGCCCATCATGCCGTGCGTTGCCTCCGGCGGGAGACCCTACGATGCACGATGGTTCATTCATCTTGTTTAGCCGCCACCGTCGCGCAGGCCGGCTACCCTATGATATCATGTTATCAAGGTCCTTTGTCGCCACATACCTCAATTGCAAAATGGGTTGCACTCAGCGCTCCGGTACCTGCTGAAGTCTAACAGGCAGTATTTATTGTGAAACTCACCGCTGTTCGGTGCCCAACTTGGCGATTCTTGGAAATAAACCTGTACGCACAAACAATCAGTAGTCTTGATCCCGACTACTCTGTTGTCTACAACAAGCGTTGTGTGTAGGTTGTTCGGTAGGTGACGAAGAGGATGAACAAATCATGTGACACGTTTTCTGAAAGATCCCGACGAGACCGTTCCAACTCCTCCCGCCGTTGTCGGCACCGCCGCTTTGAGCTTGAACTTCGCGACGACGACGGGGGGGTGTGGTGCCACATGCGGTAAGCATGTTCATGGTTGCAGCAGGTGGTTTCTGTTTTCCAGATCTTTCTCGCATCGTTCTCGTTGACACCAAATCCATGCACGATGTACTGTTGTAGTTCATACGTTCATACGCAAGCTCACCCACCCACATCGCTGGACGCAATGATCGAGAGTTCATACGAGCATGACCCACACCCACATGCAGTGTTTGTTTCAAGACTGGCGCGTTATTAGTAGTGGTCAATCGACACGGCGAAACACTTCAGAATTCAGTGTTTTTGCGAGGTTTCGCACATCGCACTCTCCGCGGCCAGGAAGGATTTTTTTTTTGCCAATTGGGCGTACGGGAGGCATATCCAGCACGAAAAGCCCCAAACTTGAGAGGGCCAGCTTAAGAAGAAATAAAGAGCGGAGGGCATGGGACGTTCTACATTTTTCTGCAGGCTTGTTGTACGCATGTTTGATCACGGGGTCACACAGAAGATTGATTTGACGCCCCCAAACTGGAGCGGACACTGGCTTTTCATCCCCGTAATGACCCCCCTGTACTAAAAATTCCATTAGACCCAAACTCGATTGAGATCACGAAAAGCATATGGAAGGCGTGAGGGGTAGCTGTCCATACTAGATTGCCTCCCACGAGCCCCCTGCCTGAGGTCCTTTGGTATCGAGGATAGATATATTCAAAACGTAAAAGCCTATTTCTTACTTCCCCCCCCCCCCCGTGCCCCCAAGTGGGTTGGCGCTGTTGGCAAAGCGCTGTAAAACACGCCACCCCAAATATAGCCCCATAGTATGCGCTACCAAGGACGCGTAACGCATGGACGAGTTGAGTGAGGATAGTTGTTTACGAAAACCTCACAGGTTGAGTCATGTAGGAGATTGCCGGACACATCGACATGTTGAGTGATTATAGCTGTATACTAAAACCTGAAGAGTTGAGTGAGGTTTGAGATTGCCAGACACATCGACGGGTTGAGTGGGGATAGCTGCATACTAAAACCCCACGGGTTGAGTGATGTGCCGGACACATAGACGCGTTGAGTGAGGATAGACACATACTGAACCTCACAGGTGATTTGTGATGGAGATTGCCGGACACATAGACGTGTTGAGTGAGGATAAGTGCATACTGAAACCTCACAGATGCATTAGTTTTTGAGATTGCCAGACACATGGACGCGTTGAGTGGGGATAGCTGCATACTGAAACCCCACGGGTTGAGTGATGTGCCGGACACATAGACGCGTTAAATGAAGACAGAAACATACTGAACCTCACAGGTGATTTGTGATGGAGATTGCCGGACACAGACGTGTTGAGTGAGGATAAGTGCATACTGAAACCTCACAGATGCATTGGTTTTTGAGATTGCCAGACACATGGACGCGTTGAGTGGGGATAGCTGCATACTGAAACCCCACGGGTTCAGTGATGTTGGAGTGCCGGACACATACACGCGTTGAGTGAAGACAGAAACATACTGAACCTCACAGGTGATTTGTGATGGAGATCGCCGGACACATAGTCGTGTTGAGTGAGGATAGCTGCATACTGAAACCTCACAGATGCATTGGTTTTTGAGATTGCAAGACACTAGACGCGTTGAGCGAGGATAGACACATACTGAATCTCACAGGTGATTTGTGATGGAGATTTGCCGGACACATAGACGTGTTGAGTGAGGATAGCTACATACTGAAACCTCACGAGTTGAGTGATGTTGGATGGTGCCAGGCACATCGATGCGCTGAGTGAGGATAGACACATACTGAGACCTCACGGGTTGAGTGACGTTTGCGATTGCCGCACACATAAGACGCATTGAGTGAGGAAAGCTGCACACTAAAACCTCACAGGTTGATTTGTATTGGAGATTGCCGGACACATAGACCCGTTGAGTTTTTTTTGTTTTTGAAAATCCACAGTAGCTATAGTGAGGGGACAATTCGAGAATGCAGTACACATAGACCCGACCCCCAACCCGTACCCGAACCCCCCCTGAATAATGGAGGTCATGCGCCCCCCCCCCCTCTACCCCCCCCAGAGGATGAGGAGGGTACAGTCCAAAGTAAGCACAAGCTTACCCATGGTTAATGCCTATTGATACGGCATTAAAAAAAATCTCAAGTCCTCCATTGGGCGGTGGAGGACTTAAATTAAGACACCCCAAAATCCTCCGGCGTGAGATCCAAAATTGATCGGGCGGTGGAGGGGGGGGGGGGTTGTTTGTTGCTTGAAGTGGATCAATAAAACATAGAGCCATCAAAGCAAAGCTTACTACTCATGTCGAGCAAACTGAACGACCAGACCAACCACGCAATAACTGCGTAGCTAGATGTGCGGCACGCACAGTGCATTGTTTTCTATTGGAGAGAGGCGAGTACAAAGCAGTAAGGAATTGTTGGCCAGACTTTCGGCAGATAGGTCTACTCGGGAGCGAAAGTGGGGTAGCAACCCATGGTGGAGCGTACATGAGAAGCTGGACGTTGGTGTACGCTCCATCCCGGCGCGTGAGTAGGATCTTAGGCTATGCAAGTCGTCCCTGCACTTATTGTGGTGAAAATGATCTCCAAGGAGGAAAGTAGCCTGTACCGCGGGACTTCGGAGATGACAAATTGGGTGGTCGGGGGACGTCTGGGTGTTTACTAAGCACAGCGCTCGGCAAAAGACTGGGTACTTGTGCCAGGAGGTGTGAACTTGGATCTAGACTACGACCCTATGTTGGAGGCGCTCTTAAGCGTCGGTGAGCCGGCAAAAGAACTGAAACGAATCACAACCCCCGCCGGACACTCGGATTGGGAAGGCCGAGTATTCCGTATACCTTCCTGAAAAAACACGAAAAACAAGTGGCCACGGTCCAGTTGCCGTAGAGATCATGAGGCTGGTGAAGAAGTCGGGAGGATGGAAGCAGAAACTGTGCAAGGGAGACAAGTTGGAGCTGCTGCTGTTTTGGATTTCAAGGGACATGACAAGGATAGAGTTTAAGAACTGTTGTGACAGGGAGGGACTGCACTGCTTAGCAAGGGGACAAGTAGGCAGAGAGCATGAACACTTCCGGGTGAAATTGACCAAGGGAGACAGCCAAGAGTGCTTGGGGGTTGACATCGAGAAGCTGTCGAACTACGCAAGGAAGTTTGGATGGAGGGTGTGCATCCCGAACATGACATAATAGAAACAGAGAAGGTAAAGAGACATGAGGCGCAGGCAATGGAGGCGAAGAAAGGACCGCGCGGGGGAGGCAAGCAGGCAAGTCAGAAGAACGCCGAGAAGAAGCGGAAGGCGAACGATAGAGTGCGCAAAATCTCCAATGGGGAAAAGCACAAGCTGAGAGTCGGGTCGTGGAACGTATGCGGGTTCGCAAGGAGTGAGCGCAAGTGGTTGGAAATAGTGGACCAAGTAGAACAAAACGATCTAGATGTAGTGGGGATCCAAGAGACGTGGGAATTGAAGGATGGGGACATGGCAAGCAAACTAGGGGAATGCCGGTGGGTAGGGACGGCAAAAAAGGGCTTAGACCCGAAGAAAAGGGGGGAGGGGGGAGTCGGATTCCTGGTCAAGGAACACTTGTTTGACGTGGTGGAAGTAGTGGTGAAAACGGAGTTCGAGGAAAGCCTATGGCTTAAGATACCTGGGGAGCGGGGTGAGAAAGATTTGTTGCTAGGGAACGTGTACGTCCCACCGTCGTCGAAGAAAGTCGCAAGCAAGGCGCAGGAGAACTTTGGACAAATTGGGGAAGATGTCCAGAGGTTCAGTAGGAAGGGAGAAGTTGTCATGGTGGGCGATTTCAACTCCAGAGTAGGGAAAGCTTCCAGTAGAGGACAGGCGATCGGGCAGCACGGAGAAGACAAAGTGAATGACAACGGAGTGAGGATGCTTGAATTCTTGGGAAGCAACGAACTGATGGTGTTGAACGG